GTTGTAAAAGTAAATTAGAAAAACATAATTTGTCATTATACCAATTTTCGTGATATTTAAAACATGTCATTATTAAATGTATCATGACAGTTTCAAGTTGTTGTTATACATATTGCCGTGACTCTTTACAGAATGTCATCATTAAATGTTCCATGACATTGTTAAACTGTGATTATACATACTGTCGTGATGTAATGTCATCAAAATAGTTGTTGTGACAATTATAAACTATCAGAAATATGTTTTTGATGATTGAAGAAAAAAATCTTTGCTTCATTCGGTGAAAATTATAAACTATTATCAAATGAGTTATTTGTGAGACTTTTAAATTGTGGTGGATGATCATTTCGTGACAAACTATAACAGTCATTCTAAATGCATTAATGACAATTTAAAAAACTGTCACATTCTCCATTTCCTTGATGCCTTAATCCAAGTTATTAACTGTCACRAATTAAGTTAATGACAATTTTTAATTGTCATGGAAGACTAGTTTTGTAGGAGTGAGATCATAAATTAGATATTGTAACACTACATACATTCTGTTGGGAAATTAACGGTTTTCTATAATTTCCCTTTCCACATAAAATATCCAAACACATCCAAAATATGTAAATAGGAAGAAAACAGTAAAGCACAATATAATAACTCAGCAGATTTATACTAGTTCACAACTAAGGGCTACGTCCAGTCTTCCACTCAGATGTGGGTAATTCACTAATAATTTTTAAAAGAATTGGATACAAAACACTCCCCACTAATATCCCCTAGAGGTCCCAATAAAAGCCACCTAGCTTCTACATATTATAAACATTATATTTAGGTACAGGAATGAAAAACTCACAAATACAAGATACAATACCCTGAACAAAGATGATCTTAATCTCCTCAATTTGTGATGTCAACACCCGAGCCGTTGCCACAAAAAACTGCCACAAAAAAAAACCCCAAATTTGCCCCAAACAAATTCTGACGACTGCTCATTTTTATTTTGTTTTCACGGCTACCACAAAACCAACACACACATTTACATATATATGTGTGTGTTAGGTTAACAATAAGTTGGGCCTTCATGACCCAACAACTTTTTTTTTTAATTATTATTTTGTATCCACAAGCCCAACAATCACCCACTTGGAGACAAAATAACAATCATCTGCCTCCTACTGCATCAACAGTGTCCCATAGTCATCTTGACCCTTTGTCAAGGCACAGTTCTTACTCCGCTATCAAAGAACTGATCCACATTGCTCGGCCTTATCCAAGCTCTGTCTGTGATTGCCCCGATACCGAGTAATCCTACGTAGTCTTATCCTTTAGACGATAGAGACACGACCACGTGCTTCCACTCGAACTAAGTGGTCCCTATAGCTTCCTTTCTCGATCGAACCCAATGACCTCTGAAGGAAGATTCCCCTGATGACTTGGAGCTCCCACCTAAGTCTGTTGCCTTTCTAGAGACATTCCCCTTGACTTCAATACCCTCTATAGTCATCTCCTTCGATGCACTATCTCGCTTATGCGACTTCATTAGCTCGCTGTTCCGTCTGACAACTGGGGCATGAAACTGACAACCAGTTGAACACTTACCTGAGTTGTTCCCCTTACCCTTTCCTTTACTTCCCAGCTGTTGTACTTGAACTGATGGCAGATTTATCTGATCTGTTCTGGTTGTTGATACTGCTGATTCTCTAAGGTCTCACCCTAAACCATCTGCAGCCCTGTGCATCCTCTGTCTCTCAGATCTCCAGGCAACCTCAAACTTTGACACATACATAGAAGATCTCTTATGGTCAGTTGCCACCACCCTGGATTCCCTATTGAACTTCCAGCAACCCCCACTAAACTCACTGCTGTAGCCATCGTCATCTAGCTTCTCTACGGATAACAAATTCAATCTGAACCTAGGAATATACCTGACACCTCGCAACAACAACTCGACCCCTTCGCCTGTCTTCAAACAACATCTCCAATTCCTCTAACTTTGGAGATACTCTCATTTCTCATCCTCATTGAGCCATAATCACCTGCAGTAAAAGATGAGAACCAATGTCTGTATGAAGCAATGTGCAATGATGCTGTAGTGTGAAGCACCCACTGGTCTACAGATATGTTCCTTTGAACACAAGCCAGAAACTCATCAATCCCTTCTTCTATTACAACGTTTGTAGAATTGTTCTCCTTCTCACAATCTTCTTTGAACTTTCTATAGCAACATTTCACGTGTCCCTTCTTGTGGCAGTAATAACACTCTACTTCTCCACTGGAACTCCACTACCCCTGCTATATCTCTGCTGCTGCTTCCCATTGTAATTCACCTTTGCCTTCCCTTTTTCTGAGCTACCAAAGCTGATTCAACCCCGTTCTATGCTCTTGAAGTAGATGCAGACATTTACCCTAATTTTCTTCGGGCTTCCTCAGAAAAGGCGACATCACAAATAGCTGAAAACTTCAAACTATTTTCCCCTAGCAAATTCGACACCGCGGTCTTCATCGTCTCCCAACTGTCAGGCAAAGACGTCAACAGCCTCATAGCTTTCACCTCCTCATCGATCTTGATACCCATCCCTTCGAGTTTATTCAAGATGTCAGTGAGTTTATCGATGTGGGAATTCACCGAGGTTCCCTCCTCCATGTGGATATTAAAATACTTCGTCCATAGAAGTATTTTTGTATTGGCATAAGATTTTTCATACCTATCTTGCAAGGTCTTCAACAATTCTTTCGCTGTAGTCTCTTTCACCACCAAACTACAAAAATTTATCGATAACAACATTCTGATGTTCGTAGCGGCCTACTCATCCATCTCACTCCAATCCTTTTCCGTCATCCCTGTTGGTCTCTCTCCCAAAGTCTTGTGTATTTTCTTGCATGTAAGAAGATCCTTTAACTGCATCTTCCAAAAACTGAAATTCTCTCCACTGTACTTCAGGACCCCTTCATAATAATGGTGTGCTTGATATCTGTCACTTATGATGCTGCAACCTTACAGCTCTGATACCAGTTGTTGGGAAATTAACGGTCCTCTATAATTTCCCTTTCCACAGAAAATATCCAAACACAACCAAAATATGCAAATAGGAAGAAAACAGTAAAACACAAGATAATAACATAGCAGATTTATATTAGTTCACCACTAAGCGCTACGTCAAGTCTTCCACTCAGATGTGGGTAATTCACTAATAATTGTTAAAAGGATTGGATACAAAACACTCCCCAATAATATCGCCTAGAGGTCCCAACAAAAGTCTCTTAGCTTGTAAGTATTATAAACACTATACTTAGGTACAGGAATGAAAAACTCAAAAATACAACATATTATACCCCGAACAAAGATGATCTTGATCTCCCCAATTTGTGATGCCAACACCCGAGACATTGCCACAAAAAATTTCCACAAAAAAACCTCCAATTTGCCCCAAACAAATTTTGACGGTTGATCCTTTTTCTTTTGTCACGGCTACCACAAAACCAACAAACACATTTACATATATATGTGTGTGTTAGGTTAACAATAAGTTGGGCCTTCATGGCCCAACAATTTTTTTTTAATTATTACTTTGTATCCACAAGCCCAACACATTAAATACAAATACAAGTTAATTAATTTAAATTTCTCTTCCTTGAATTTTATGTCAAAGAGTACACTACATGCCTAGTTTAAGACTATATTTGGTAACACAGAGTATTTAATAATTTAATGCTAAGTAAAGAAAGATATACCATATGTTTGGGGGAAAGAATACCCTAGACACGTGGAGGACAACCATTAGTGCTCCAAGGTGACCCATGAGTCATGCCCCAGCTCGGACCGCCGAGATCACCACCACTAGCGTTGACAGATGCTAAGTATGAGGGCCGAGGTGAACCTGGCTAAGGTCCGATCTACCGGGAAGCTCGGTGGGGGCCGATGTGAGCTACTGTCAGCGGCGTGATTATCGGGTGTAACCGTCGGTCCCGAGATTACCGGGTGTAACCGACGGTCCCGAGATTACCGGGTGTAACCGACGGTCCCGAGATTACCGGGTGTAACCGTCGGGAGATTAGCAGGACTACCACCCATAAGTAGAGGACCTCACTCCACGATCAGGTACGATGATTTTCTGACCTCGAACTAAACTGGGAATCCGACCTATACTGACTTGATCGTCGGAGTGCTCACCTTTTTGTGCAGGTCCGCCCAAGTATTCAGATCGGTCTGGAGGCCGAGTTCGAGCTGCAATCAGAAATACACTGTTGTGCATATCCTTGCATAAACATTTGGCGCTGTCTGTGGGAATTCGACAATCTAAGTCATCCCAATTCTTTTAAACCAACACGCAAGCGAAAATGGTTCAACCCGCAAACTCGACCAATACGACAGATCGAA